GGATTGTATTTTCTTGATATATTGTGTAGATTGTGATCTAATTTTCTGCTACTTAGAAACTTGCCTAGTTGCTTGTATATTTTTTCTTTTTCTTGTTGTTTATATCAATAGGTAGATATAACTCTAACTTTGGGAGTTAATATTCTAAAGTTATTGGATAGTATTTCATTTTATCTAGCTTAAAATGCCTTGCCAAACGGTAAGCTGCCTCTTTTCCATTTACTAGAAATACATCTTCTGTGTTTCTAAAGTCTTTACCTTCTTTGGATCAACTCAAAAGGCCTTTTCAAACTTGAAGTATGAAGTCTCATAATGGCCAAGTATTTTCTGTAATCTCTTTAAGTAAAGTCTCTGAAGTGCGGGCACCTTTTGTTTTGGTCCTTTTTGTACTGGAGACAAGGATGGGTTGGATATGCTTGGAAATTGTCCCCAAAACATCTTGAAATGATTGGTTACTGTCAGTCATAGTGGGTACTGTCAAACCTGTACTTGGTGACATTTTTGGGACATGAAGTATGGTAAACTGGAGTCCGATTTTTTTTTGAAATTTCATCCCAGAAAAATTGAAATGAAACCATATTTAGATCAAGGGCTTAGGAATAAAAAGAGCAACTCTTTTTATCTCTAATAGCTGCTCATGTGGTCACCCAGAGTCCAAGAGACAACTAATACAACAATTGCTTAAATCTAAAAAAATCAGATCTTGTTTTATTTAATAGTGTTTTTCTGGGATTTTGTTGACATTTCTGGCTGTTATTTGTGACTAATTGTTTGGGTTATATCACTGTATTCAGAGTTAATATATTTTAATCATCTTTGCCAAATCCATGCTGTATTAGTTTCTTGAAAGTTTGTTTTCCTGTTTCCTGTCCCCGTTGGAGCTATATATAGGAAAAAAGAAGTTATACTTCCTTATTTGTAAAGGTAGAATCAAATTGCTAAAGAATCTCATATTTATAGGTAATAAAATCGAATTGTTGTTTCAGCATTTAGACTTTTAATATATTCTTGACTGTGAGAGAGAACTTTGGATCTTTTTCTAGAGGGAGGAAAATTAAGCCTGCTAGTGTAGTAAGATTTTCGTTTGGGGATAGAGCTATTATCTTATTTACATATATTAGGATTTGTTTTCGGGAATATTATTTCTTAGAGCTGGTGTCTGGTATTTTAGTTTCTGATTTTGTGAATGCTCACTTTAGTTTCTGCTTTTCTCTATGACTTTATTTGGCTTTTGTGCTTAAACCTGAGAGACCTAGTGATGTTGATGACAGTAACATAATTGAATTGTTGGATGGACAGTGGAGCATAATAGAATGGATTATTGATTTTTCTGATACTGGGTCCCAATAACATAGAGATTTAGACCATTTTTTTCCTCCGTGTTTGGCCTTCACTAGATTGTGATGGTATGTCAACGTATTATTGGTATTGCCTTTAGGGAAAGGGGGTTGTTTTTCATAAGGATATCTCTGTTTCCATGTGGGATGCCATGACTTTAGCTGAACTACTTTATACCTGCTTGTCTATGGGTGCTTGAAGTATCCTGGAGTTCTGCTATTTATCTAACGATGTCTAACTTGCATGTCTCTTTTATCACTGTCCATTCTGCTGCTGTAATGGCTGTTACTAGTATTTTTGTTGTGTCTTTTTTTTATCGACTCTGTTGTTTAACCGTTGACCTCATGATATCTTACCTAAATTGTTGTTTTTCCCTGTAGGATGAGAGGGAACTGAAGAGGCAGAGACGTAAGCAGTCTAATAGGGAATCTGCTCGTAGATCCAGACTGCGTAAGCAGGCAAGGGCATTGCTCATCATTTTTTATAGTGAAATGGCCCAGTTTCTTTCATGATGGATATAACGGTTTCAAAGCTTACAAAATTGTTCCTTTTTTTCTTTTTCTTGAAATTGGAATTCAGGCTGAATGTGATGAGTTGGCCCAGCGTGCTGAAGGATTGAAAGAAGAAAATGCTAATCTTAGATCAGAACTTAATCGCATCAGGAGTGATTATGAGCAGCTCCTGGCTGAAAATACTGCACTTAAGGTGATATGTCACTCTCATATGTTTCCTAGTGATTAGTTGATAATGTTTTTTAGTATATCAATTATTAAGTCATGAATGGTGTGTGACTGTGTGTCACTGTGATTTCAGTATGGAGACCGTGTCTTTTTTGTCATCATTCTTTCATGTGTATTGTCAAGGTGATCAATTGTCTATATCGTGTATCTGTCTTCCCTTGTTTCAATTTCAAGGAACTTTCTTAAAAAGCAGGGAACACTTTTAGGATCACTCTCCATGCTTATTTTCTTTTCTTCTTTTGCTGCTGGCATTGTTGAGGCATATTAGTTCATCTTCTTGAACCTCCTTTATATGACTGTAGTAGACTGATTTTCTGATTGTAAATATTGTATGAATTCTAAGGATAGATAAAGATAAAGGCTTGATAATTGGATTGATAATGGCTGAAATAGGTTTAGCCTACAACTCTCCTATCAGCAACCTGAGGTTGCTACTCTTTATTTCCAATAACCCAATTCATGCTACCCTCTCCTTTCCCCCCTCTATCTATTTATACTAAAGCTAAGGACTATTAACCTAATAATACTAGACTTTCCAAATTGCCCCTCCTAAGATTAGTCTATTACAATGACATGGTTCATTATGTTATATCTAGTGACTAGAAGAAATTTTACTTGAACTGAATTAATTGACATAGTTCATCTTTCAGAAATTTGTAGCCTGTTCATTTCTGAGTGTGAGGTTTACTTGCACCAAGTATAATCCTAGTGCCAAATAGATGATTGTATTTAGTATTTGGCTAGTAGGGAGACTATCCGCTTGAATAACAAGACCACTTTGGACTTCAATTTCAAGAGATCATGTTACTCGTTTTTTGTGTAGAATGTAATGTTCATTTTACAGATGCCAATTATCTGTTGAAGCAAAGCTGACATATTATGCTCTTTAATATTAATATGTTATATTTTTTCATCTCACCTCAAATAACCGATCATATCCTCGACACTGCAATATGGGTCTGGTTATTTAGACACTTCATTTTGGGCCAAAATCATGGGAAATTTCCAAATTAGCCGAGTTGCACACTTTTACACTTACCCGTATAACAAGTACCCAAGCTAAAGTACCAAAGATGATGTATCAGTTGTGGTTACGACACTAGGAAAAGGTTAATGGGGTAGGTCATTTTTTTAATTTTTTTTAATTTTATTGTTTTTTCGGGTTTGAAGTGTTCTCATGTACCAACTTTTAAGTGGGCTTCTGAGATTTCCACTTAAATTTCGCTGGGATTGGATTGAGTTCTTAGTTTATGTGCTATTTGTGGTTTTTTTGCAGGCCGGGTTGGTCAATCTATGTTTTTAGGTTTGAAGTGCTGTTTTGACAGTCATGTGGCTTTGTGCATGTACTCTTTCATTGTCTATGCCATGAATTTTAGAAGTTGGCTTTTGGAAATCATCATATAAAAAATATGATAACTTGGAACCATGTAAAGCTGTTTACTTTCCCCTGCCTATCTTTAGTATATGCTTCTTAGGAAATAATCATCTTTTCACTTCTGCAGGAGAGACTTGGTGAAAATCCAGAAGATTTAGGATCTAACCGAGCTGAACGTCATATGATTAGTGAAACTAAGGAGAGCAGCAAAACAGATCAAGTTTAGAGTGGTCGCTAAGATCTGAGTCATTGCCCTTCTGCTTCAGCAAAATTTTATGAAGCATAAGCTAACATAGTAGTTACTTGAAGTCATTAGCATACCTCTGCAGTCTGCATACAGTCAAATGTGCCAAAATCTGTCCTTTTTGTTACAGATCATTTATGAAATCCTATTTGGCAAATCTCAAATTTTTGGGATCAGTATGCAGTTGGTGATATTGTGGCATGCCGAGGTTTCCATTTGTATCGTGGTAGAAGACGTAGTAATAGCGATACTGCAAGAGTTGATTGCCCTAAATGCGGCTTACAGAAAATATAATTCTGAGGAAGATAATGTACCATTAATGTAGCTGTATATGGAAGATTTTTTTGTCTTGTTTGCCATGCCCTTATTAGTTAAAAGGGCATGATTCTCTCTAGGATTAAATAGTTATAGCTTCAACTTTTCACCTTTGCTGCTAATATTTGTGGCAATTTATGGCAGTACATGAATGGTTTTTAACATTCTGTCTTGTTTACTGATATTCTTTTTGGGTGGGATGGGGTAACCTGGTCAGCTTGCCAATATTATATCTGAACATGAATCGCCAACCTCTAACTTGGGGGTGGGAATTCCCCTGTCCTTCCTCCCATTTCCAAAGGGCCTAGCTTGTGAGAGATGTCTGGTTAGATCCTTCTCTTTACCTATAAAAAAAATAATATTAATACTCGCTCTCTTTACCATCTCCATACCTAAGTTTTTTTTTTTTTTTTTAATTTTTTTTTAATTTAATTGCAATAATACTTAACACTATTTTATTTGTATCTCTACAGTTTCTTAAATAGAAATATTCACCTACTCCGTAGTAAACTCCTAAATCCGCGGTTTTATAAATTGAATATTCCTATTATATGTGTCTTGTTTCCATTATCATATTGAATAATATTGGGAAAGCCAATCCTCTTTGCTATCTCGACCAATTGATTCTATAAAATACACACAAAAGCTTGTAAGAATTCACCAATTTTAGATCATGTTCGCTTTACCTTTAAAAAAAAAACACTATTCAATAAAAAATAAATTTAGTTCAATAAAATTAATTTCGGTGCAGTAAACTAAGTTCAGTTAAGTAAAAACAATTTAAGTTTAGTAAATATAATTTTAGTTAAATAGAAATCAATAACCAACATGTGAGATCATGTGGTCTTTATGAGCACTTCATGTTTTTACGTATTTATGTCAAATAATTTTATAATCTAATACTTAGCTAAGAAAGTTACCTCAAATGTAGGTTTATTTATTTTCATTTTTTCTATTATTAATAATAAAACTAGTATTTACCCTGTGCGTTACACAGATTAAACTTTTTGATGACATGTTTTTTAGTGAATGGTTGGTTTAAGAATTATCGTATAAAAATTAGTTTTCGTATGAATTTTGAAAGAAGAAACTAATTGTTTGGGAAGAAATTTAAGAGAAATAAAGTGTCATTTGAAAAGAAATAAATTGAACATTAAGATGTAAAGACATATATTTAAAAAAAAAAAAAAATGACATGTGGAGTTTTCCTGTTATTTAATATCTCCGTAGTATAGATGTTTAGATAATAATATAGGAGTAACATGTTTTTTGCTTACTCTATGAAATTGTGATTACATTGCCTATTGGGTGATAAAGTTACACTGCCTATATAAGAGATTCTCATTTCATCCAAAAAAAACAAAACGAGATTCTCACACAAAAATCCAAAACTTAAGAATTTTCTACACTCCAATAAAATCTTCACAAATTCCGACGCTTTCTCTCTCTCTTCCCTAGGAAAAATGGCGTTTCCCGGTGCAATTTGCGACGCGTTGGTAGCTTTACCATCAACTGCTTCTCATCGTTCACTTGAAGTCAAGAAAATGTCAGAATTCAAATATTCATTTCTTCCTATTTCTGCAAATTCTAACAAAGTAAGTTAGTTTTTACAGTATTTTTCACTAATTCAATTACCCCCATTTTAACGAATTTGATGGCATTTTAATTGTTCTTAATTTAATATTTATGCATGTTTAATATAAGTCTTTCTGGGTTTTCTTTCTGTAATAGGAAAATATAAAAATCTTGTGATTAATTTTTGTAGTTATTTCTTCCTGCTATTGTTTTAGGTGATGTTTGTTAAAATTGTCTTTATTTGGCATTTTTCGCACTGTAATGTAGTTCAAAAGAATTATTTCTATTTTTTGATTGAAAATGTTAGAATCTTGTTTTGTATTATATTTGTTACACCCTTCGCCCGAATTCTATGTGACATTATGAGCTTAAATTACACTATCATCGTGACTATTGATTTCGTGTCGAGGGAGTGTTTGGAATATACGTGCAGAAGCTAGAATGTGCAAAGGTTATGTATAATTGTATCATGATTATGGTGGGTAGTATTACTGGTTTTTCTGTTCATTGAGAATTGAACTTAATTTTCGCTTTCTTGGTATCGAATTCGTGTTGTGGGTATGACAGGAAGCTTGCATTAGTTGATTGATAGTAAACCTTGAACCACTATCTTGTAATCTTGAATTTAATGGGTTTCTTGTTTTATCTATTATTTCCATGCATTTGTTCATTTCTTTCATCATATGGTTATTTTTGTCTATTTTTGTTCTTTTTAGGACTTCCTTTATAATCTAGCTATAAGGAAGTAAGATTTTGTTTCAACTAATTGTCTTTTATCTAGGTGGAATTTAGATATTGCTATTTGATAATGTTAGCTGGGTTTTTTTTTTTTTTTTTTTTTTAATCATTACAGTTGATAAGAGCGACTGATAAGGAGTGTGAAAGCAATCGGATAATATAATATCCTTGAAGTAGCATAGAAATGTATAGTGGTAGGGGATATAACTTGGCTGATTGAAGCATATTCATAGATTCTAACTTGCAATTGAGATGAGCGATGAGTGGAGGAGAATTTGTTGTGTAGTAGATTTGGGTTAAGGGTTATGAGTCTAATGACTTTTGAGTACAAAATCATGTCTTTGAGACTAGTTGTATGGGGAAACTATGGTGCATTGTCTAGTTTTGACAAATCATGTGGTATTGGTGATGCCTGATCAATTTAAGCTACTCTTGTTGAGTTTAATTTTTAGAATAAAGTTTTGAAGTATATACCTGCCTACCCCATTTCTCTGATCACCATTGTGAAAACTTTTGACGTTCACAATGTCTTTAGGAGTGTAGAGAAATGAGGGAGTAATCACTGCTAGCAATCCATCATGTCAAGTGTCTGTTCCAAAACTCGATCTTAAGGTTCTTTACCTTAAAAAAGTGTGTTCATTTGGTCTTAGTTATCTAGAACTTGTTTGCAACCTCAGGTTGCTGTTCATTGTCATGAAGAATCTTTATGCTTTTCTTTTAATTATGTAATTAAGTTATCGATGGGTTGCAGGCCACTTGCACATAATTGAGGCCACATGATTTCTGGTGATCAAATTTTGCTTCTACTAACTCCTGTTTATCAGTTAGGCTGTTTCAAAATCCGTTTCTTCTGGTTTTCTTAAAAACTGCAAATGCTGCAAATCTAATTTTCTGCATCCTGTCATCTAGGCTTCCAATTTTGTTGCAAGGTTTGATTACTATTTATTATTAACCTCAGTTCCTTTTAAGTTGGGTTACATTTTCCGTTTTCATCCATTCCTTTGAGTTGATGACATTACCTCTCTCATCCATTTTGTTAAAGGATTTTACACTTTTCACCTTTCCTTGCCCCTCATGCATCACTTTCTTTACAACTTTTTCTTACACAACCCACTTTGCTACACTTGCTCTCCTACCCTCCTTAATTTCTGTGCAAATAGTAACTGCAGCCAACTCAAAGCAACGCTGGTTATATTATGTGCATAGCTTTTTCTACATGTCCATAAAATAGATACTTGTAACATGTGGGAGACTGAATGGTCGAGGAACTAGCCGTCTATGATTCTTGCCTGTGAGAAAAAATCATAAAAAAAAAAAAAAAATGGTTAAAAGGGAGAGGCAAATAATTGATATTGTTCAAATAAATTGTATTTCGTAGATGATCCTTGATTTAATGCTTTGAAGATGATGAAAGACTGAGAGCAAATTATTGCTACTTTGCTGTTGCAAATGGGCATTCTGAGTTTAATTGTAAAGTGTGAATAAAGCAATTGTACTGGTTCTATACCCATATCGATCTGAAGTTAGCAGGCCTGTGTACATTTTGTTTGTGGAGTGGTGGAGAAAACATTCAAAATTGCATGACTACATGTAACATTAGAAAAAAAAATTCTATCTTAGATTAGCTTAGTTTTGTAGGCTGTTAGTTTCTTGTTTGGAAACCCATAATCCTAAATTTTCTGCTTAGTTGAGTAAATGTTAGTCTCTCAGTGACTCCAATTATATCATTTCTTGGATCATTATATGCAGGGCTGTAATTTGTTTTACAATGGAAAGATTGCCACAGGACTGGACAAGAGCAAGTCAAGTGGAATTTTGGTGAGAGCTTCCGATCATTCTGGAAAGAATTCAGAACCTATTGCTCCTCTTTCCTTGGAGTCTTATGTTGGGAAACAGTTGACAGAGATATTGCAAGCAAACCCACATCTCCTCCTTGCAGCTGTTGACCAGGAGCTTGTGAAGCTGCGAAATGAGAGAGCTGACGTATACAAATCGATTCCGCCATTTTTAGCTGAAGAAGACCTGCACAGGTATATTTTTCCTTGCCTGTCATCTTTGAAATCCTATCATCTTATAATTGATGAAGTGGAGCTAACATCATCCTCATAAATGCTAAAATAGTATCTTTTGGCTTTCATCTTGTGATATTCACTTTCTTTTGAAATCCAAAATCGCCTACTCTAAGAGCATCCTCAATGCAAGGGAGCAAAGGTGCCTAAATGCACTCTCTCTTCTCTTTTGGGGCTCTCCATCATTGTGGATGTGTTTCCCTCCCCAAACAAAAGAAAAACAAAAGAATGGTGGAAAACAATGCTTGAAATGTGGCATGGAGAATGGTTGTCATTTTTTTTGGGTCCAGTCAATGCTTGACAAGTGGTGTGCTGGCCTGCTGGGGTCTAATAAAAGTAGGAGAAAGTGTTTTGGAAAAGCCGAGCATTGTGGGAAGCAAAAAAATATTATGGGGAGGGTAGATAGTAAAGTCATTGGAAAGTGAGGTGGAGGAAGGAGGAAAGGTATTGAGTATATGAAGAAAAGTACATTAGGATGTTATTCACCTAAAGTCATTTTCATTTCAGCAAATTATAACAGGTTATCATATACTTCGTATTTAATATAATGACATCATTTTAAACCCACATCTCCACCTTGCAATTTGTATGTTCCCTCCTGGTTGTAACTACTCAAGATTTGGAATTTTAAATATTTCAGAATTACTGACATCATTTCAGCGATAAGAGTATTAATATAATGAAGTCTGTTCGCAAGAATAATTTTTACATTCATTTGCATCAACCAATTTGGTTTTTCTGCTTGCTGTGGACTGTGGTAGTCACCTACAGAGTATACTATTTTTGCATGGGACTACTTTAACTTCCTTTTACCCTTTCACCTCACTTATCTCTTTTTCCATTGTGTTGGCCGTGTAATATTTCATGCAAAATGTACCATGAGGGTTAATTGTTTAATACATTAAACCGATTTTCGTACTAGAACATCTGGTAGCATTCACACTTATGTCTTCAGCAGGCTTAGTTTAGACAATTTTTTGCGCCCTTGTGACAAGGTTTCCAAACCTGTGTACGTCCCTTTCCTCTCTCCTCATCCTTCATTCCTTTGTTTCGTCTTCCTGGTTCTTTGTTCATTCTGCATTTTTTCCTGGCATTCCCACCAGGTTAGACCAACAGGAATCTTCTTATCTCAGTATTAATACTGGTGCTTTTCTTACATTGATGTCCCATGCTTTTCAGATGAATGAACAAGTCTACAATAGACATCTATAGCAACTCCCAATAACTTTTTTGTTTGAGTGCTTTTTGTGCAAAAGTTGATGTATTCCTTCGTTTGATCTCTAATTTTGATCTGACTAGACATAAGTAAACTGAGTTTTGTAGTATGATGATTTCAGGAGACTAATTGAAAGAAGTGAGAAGCAAAGGAGAAGATATTTAGTGGACATAATGTACTGCTTAATCGTACACAGATTTGTGGAAAAAAACATCTCAATGTTTTCAAAAAGAACCCCGACAAATTCAGTTGGCAATGTGGCATTCTGGCCATTGCAAGATGACAAACTCAGATCTGTACACTCTAAGGGATTACAAGATTTGATAGTAGGCCACTTGTTCGCTGTGATACATGACCAACTTCATGGTCCCACGTTGACTAATATTGAGATCAGCATTATAGAACTTGGATTGCTGTATGCTGATTCCATGATCTATGGGTATGTTCTTCGAATGGCTGAACAGAGATACCAACTTGAGAGAGCATTGAATACAATTCCTGAGGACTTTAGTAATTGGACCAGGTTTGAGAATCCATTTCCAGAAGGCTCTCCATGGGATTCAGATTCACTCATTCAAGTCGCAGCTGATGAAGATGTACAAAAGCCTAGTACGGTTAATGGTGAGTCCTACTATAACCTAAGGTCATATGTCGAGGACATGGATGGAGAAACTTTTCAGAGCTATGCAACTTCAATATCAGAGGAAGCTATGTCATTGATAGAAAAGCAGATGCAAGTCTTGTTTGATCTACCAGATATCAGGATTGCCGACGTGGTAAAAAAAAGTTGCAGACAAAGAATGATGAAGTTGTTTCGGTTACTCTCCTTGGATTGAGATTGCTGATTTTGGAAGCACTCGCATTTGGTTCATTTTTGTGGGATGCAGAATACTATGTCAACGAGAAATACTATAAAGTTGATAGCTGAGAAATGTTGTATGGTTCATCATATAAAACTGCACAGAACTAACACATATTCTTTGATTTCTTGTACATTGAAGTTCGAGGAGTTACAACACTTGGGTACGAAGGAATGAGGATTCAACCTCAAGCAGAATGTCTGAATGTTGAGTGTTAAATTTTCTGTATAGGAATGGATTAATTGTTCATATGAAGTTTGAAACTTAGAGTAAAAGTAGAAACCAGTTTATATATTTCTGTAAAACTGCAGAGTGCCATATTGGTATATAGCAAGCACTCGTTATTAGTTTGTTTGTACACATTTTATGCATGATTTTATTTCTGAGTAAGTGATTAGCTAAAAACTTATTACAGGAATACAGGACTACAGGAGTACTGTTTCAGGGATGTTTGGTTGAAGTCTTTTTTTTTTAATGATATGGAATGGATGTAATACCATTCTAATGTTTTGTTGGGATTTCGATTTTCTTTATGAAATCCGAGAAATCATACCTCGTATGGCTTGTTGCTAAGTCCATCGATAGAATTAAGATTGTAAAATTAAGAAATTTCAACCCCGGAGTGTGAATTATTATTATTATTATTATTATGGTGCAAGTTGGAGTGTGAATTATAAGTATATGCTGCAGCTGAACTGCTGAAGTATATGTCATACATGTTCACAGTTTACTAATAGTACATTACAATTGGCATTAGCTAATATTATAGTTTTTTTATTTTTTATTTTTTTTTTTTTTTTTTTTTGAGGAAAGCCGACCAAATCGACTAATTATTATTAAAACTCGAAACAAAATCCAACGCAACTACATCTTCAACCACACTTGGACAACTCCCAACCCACACCACAGTAGAGTACTCTAGTGGGGTAAGGTGAGCCATAGCATGGGCTACACTATTAGCTTCCCTAAAAACATGAGAAAAAACAATACTATAAAAAAACTCAGCAATAGACATGATTTCTTTAGCTAATAAGCCTAGAAAAGAACCATCACTCCCTATCCCATTTACCAGCTTCACCAAACGCTCACAATCGGTCTCAATAATCACCCTTTTCGCGTTGCATTGAACAGCCAACTTCAACCCAAGTGCCATTGCCTTAGCTTCAACGATGCTGCATCCCATACCTGACTGACTTGCTGGCAGCCCACCCTCACAATCTCCCCTAAATGGTCTCTAATAACATTTACTTTCAGCACACCTTCCACTTGGTATTCACCGCACGTTGCCTGGGATTAGCACGCGGGACAACAGCAGAAGTACGTGCCTCATTGAAGGCGTTCAGCAAAGAATCAGCAGCTGCAATGATCTCCTCAAGGACTCTTGGCACAGCACCATTTGCCACAGCGTTCCTTTCGTTCCATATTTCCCACGCAAGCATCATAATCCTACTCCTCTCCTCTACACCTCTCAATCCAAGCACCCAATCAGCCACATCAGAGAAATCCGGGCAGCCAAACACCGCACCCACCTCCTCCCACACACCTTTCACCAAGTCTGAAGTCGCAACCCCAAATAGCATGCATCTCAGTTTCAGCAGCCCTATTACACCTTCTGCATATCGGTGATATACTCTCTATACGCCTGTCAAGACCTTTGCTAGTAGGGAGAGCCCCACAACATAATCTCCATACAAACACTCCCACTTTACTAGTTACTACAATTAGCCTTTTTAACTTTTTTTTTTATGGGTTACACTTCTATTTTTGACAAACTACTACATTTTTTTTAGCAAAGACAAACTACCCCCATTCTAATACCAGTATTATGAGTATTTGTTTTTCCTAAAATATTAATTACTCCCTCCGTCCCATAATTTCGTACTTATATCTCAAAACACACGGTAATTAAGGAGAATGGTGGAAGTAGGGGAATATTCTATTGGAAAGATAAAAATTAAAGAATATTGAATGGAATAATAAAAAGTAGAGAATATTGTATGAAAAGAAATAAATAAGTAATGATTTTTTTGGTATGTGTATTTTGTATGGGAAACATAAAAAGTAAGTAATGATTGTGTGCTACTTTTAGAAACAGGCACAACATTCTAGGACACCCAAAAAGGAATACATGCACAAAATTATGGGACGGAGGGAGTACATTATTATATATTATTTTTTTTTTTTTATCGGTAAGGAGAAGGACCCTACCGGGCCGGAACCTCTCACAGGTTGAACCCAACCTAGGTTAGCGGGCTAGACAATTTGGAGGAGGGGGGGGGGAAGAGTAAGGGAATCCCAACCCTAAATTGTCTCTAGTGGGGTTTGATCTGTGGTGACAAACCTTACGGTCTAGACCAAGCTTTGCTTGGTTTTATTACGTATAATTTGATTAAAGTGTAACACTTATAAAAACGAAAAGAGTATAAATATAAGGAGTATAATATATTTCGTATTTAACAAGTGCCACATTATTTTTAGACTGGTCAACAATTGACAATTGTACTCCTTTTTTTTTTTTTTTTTTTTTTTTTGTGTAATACTCCTGCAAAATTGCAAATATTCGTGCTTGTAGAAGAAAATCTCGCACAAAAGATAGAGCAATAAAACCAAAATTTATACTCGTAGAATTTTCGACACCCCAAAAAAATTCTGACGCTTTTCTCTCTCTTCTGCAAGGAGGATGCTGGTTTCAGGTGCAATTAGCGACGTTTTGGTAGCCATACCATCAACTGCTTCTTATCGTTCTCCTGAATTCAAGAATTTTTTCAATTATTCCTTTCTTCCATCTTCTGCTAATTCTAACAAAGTAAGTTCTTTTTTTCTTTTAATTGAATTACAATTTTTAGTTTAATCAGATGCCAATTAATTGTTGTTCTTCTTAATATCCAATGATTATCTTTAATTTATCATATCTAGGTTTAACACATAGAAAGATTAATCCTTTATTCGAATTTGATATCTTAACAGAAAAGAAAAAGTGGGGTTTTTGTAGTTGCTTCTGCCTGTAATTTTAGGTAAAATTTGTTGAATTTAGGGTATTGTTGTTTGTTAGTGCCACCTGTATGTGTAAATAGTTAAGCGGATATAGCTACTGAATTGAAAATGTTTTGAATTTTGTTTTGTGATTTTATTTACTCCCTCCGTCTAGATTTAGTTCTGACATTACGAGTTTAAATTACACTATTGACGTGACTATTGATTTCGGACCGAGGGACTATTTGCCCTATTTGGGAATTGGGATATATGTGTAGAAGCTGGAATGTGCAAAGGAGTTATGTATCATGACTCTGATGGTAGTATTACTGGTTCTCCAGTTTTTGATAGGATCTTGCAAGTAATTGCAAGATCTAATTAAGGGATTGTAGTCTTTTTGGTATTGAATAGTTATATCTCTCAATTATTGTTCGGTTCTTTTTAGGACTTCTATTAAAATCTAGTAATAGAAAAGTAAGATGATTATGCAAGTAACTGTCTATTACCTAAGTGGACTTCAGAAATTGCCAATTTGATAATGTTAGCTAGTTTTTATCCTTATACGGAGTACTTGATAAGAGCAACTGATAAAGAATTTGAAAGCAATCAGATAGTATGATATCTTTGTAGTAGCATTGAAGTGTATAGAGGTAGGTAATATAACTTGGCTGACTGAAGCTTATTCGCACAATCTAACTTGCAATTAAGATGAGCGATGAGTGGAGGAGAGCTTGTTATGGAGTAGATTTGTGTAAAGGGTTTTGATTTTAGAGTATAAAATCAATATCTTAGAGACTAGTTGTACATGGAAACTAGGGTGCATGGTTTGGTGCATTTTCTAGTTTAGACAATTCATGGTATTGGTGTTCTCTAGAGTTTTTCTCGTTTTCTACTTTGGGGATCTTTTAGTGAATTTGAAAAATGATACCTGATTAAATTTACTCGCTTAGAGTTTAGTTTTTACGAATCTTTGATGAAGTTTTGAAGTACTCTGTACAAAATAACTTTTAGAGCACCCATTTGCCAACCCCAATTCTTAGATTGCCATAGTGAAAACTCTTGATGTTCACCATGTCAATAGGAATGTAGAGAAATGAGGAAGTAATAGCTGCCAGCCTGCCAGCAATTCACAATGTCAAGTGTCTGTAACAAAACTCTTTTTGTTCTTTACCATACAAAAGTGTGTCTATATGGTCTTAGTTACCTAGAATTTGTTTGCCACCTCAAGTTGCTGTTCTTTGTCATTATAGATCTTTATGATTTGCTTGTAATAAGTATGACTCATGATTTTAAAGTCATTAAGCCAGTTGCTGATGGATTGCATGTAATTGTGGCCCCATGCTTTCTAGCAATCTAAATTTGCTTCTACTTACTCCAGTTTATTGGTTAGTATACTTCCAAATCTGTATCTTCTGTTTTCTTAAACCCTAGCAAATGCCGCAAAACCATATTTTTGAGTCTCGTCATCCAGAGGCTAGTTAATGTTCCAATTTTATTGCAAAGTTTAATTGCTACTACTAGTATTTACTTCCCCAGTTCCCTTAAGTTGGGTTAGTGTTTCATTTTCGTCTGTTCCTTTGAGTTGGTTACACTTCCTTTCTCATCCATTTTTGTAAAAGTTATTTTACGCTTTTACCCTTCCCTACTCTACATGCAACACTCTCTTTACTACTTACAACCCCCCTTACAACACTTTTTTTCCTAAAATTACTCCACTTACAGTATCATCCCTTTTACATTTTCTTACATGGAACCCACTTGCTACACTCTCTCTCGTATCCTCCCTAATCCTTGTGAAAATAGTAACCGTAACCAACTCAAAGGAGCAAAAGTAGTATTTTTGTGGAGAACCTTTGCTACAAGTCCAAGAAAAAAGAAACTTAGTAACTTGTTGGAGACTGTGATTGGTTGAGCAACTGGACAACTATGATTCTTGCCTATGGTTAAAGGGAGAGGCAGAGAATTGAAGGGTACATTTTGTACAAATAAAGTTGTAGTGTTTCTGGATCGTATAAGATCCTTGATTGCTTTGGAGATTATGAATAAAAAATACATTCAAGGGTCCTTTTCATTGGAAGTGACTTTGTGCACCTTGTGTGTTTCAAGAGAGATGGAGATTGTATGTTACACTATGTAGTTGCAAATGGGCCAGTGTTTCCTAAGTCGCTAGTATGAGATTTGGCACTGGTTCACAATTCGCATTAATGAATTTGATTGTAAAGTCATGCTTTTTTCATGACACACGTTGTCCACTTTATCTGATGCTTTAAAATTGTAATATAAGAAATCTGTAAATTAGTGATGAAGAAATATATACATTTTGATTCCAGTCCTCCTTTGATGTGATGATCTATTTTCTTTATGGAAGAATAGAATTTGTTTTGATAGATTTATAGACCTTTATGAGGGGCTATCTGATTTCTGAAGAATATGCAAGTCTTCTTTGATTGGCTGTGAATTCTGATAGGTAGATAGCTAAGTTATAAATATCTGCCAATCTCTAAAAAAGTTATTAGTATTTGCGCTGGGTATAACAAATGTAATATTTAATAAATTGAAAAAAAAAAAGTCATCACCTTTATTGGGCCTAAACTCATCCATGTAGTTTGTAGAGCCATCGACGTTTTGTTGGCGGAGTGATTGTGGAGAAGCAGTTTGAACTTTGAATTGCATGATTACATGCAGCACTAGATTTTTTTTTTTTTTAAAAATTTTTTTTCTTAGGTATACTTAGCTTGTCTCTAAAAAAGTTATTAGTATTTGCGCAAGATATAACAAATGCTAAATAAAATTTTCTTAAAAAAAAAAATCAACAGTTTATCGGGCATTCGGGCCTAAGCTCATCTCTGTAGTTCGCAAGTCCATTGACATTTTGTTGGCGGAGTGATTGTGGAGGAAACAGTCTGAATTATATGATTATATGCGACACTAGAAAGTTGATTTCTAACTAGCTTAGATAAGCTTAGCTTGTAGTAACTTTGTAGGCTGTCCTTTTGTTTTTTTCTTGCTTGGATGCCCATAATTCTAAATTGTGGGGCTTATCTGAGTAAATATTAGTCACTCAGTGACTCCGATTTCATCAATTCTTGGATCTTTATTTGCAGGGTTGTAGTTCGTTTTACATTGGAAAGCTTGCCACAGGACTGGACAAGAACAAGTCAAGGGGATTTTTGGTGAGAGCATCTGATCATTCTGGAGAGAATTTGGCACCTATTGCCCCTGTTCACTTGGAGTCTCCAGCTGGGCAACTGCTGACACAAATATTGCAAACACACCCACATCTCCTCCCGGCAGCTATTGACCAGCAGCTTGAGAACCTGCAAAATGACAGAGATGCCCAAAAGGAAGAAACTCCATCATCAACTGAAGATCTCTCCCTATACAGGTAGATTTCTCCGTGTCTGTCATTTTTAAAATAATTTTTTTAATGTACTCTTCATTGTTCATTAGTGTTTCCGTACTTTCCTTCCTATCATCTTTGTTTGATGAAAAGGAGGTGACAGCATCCTCATAAACACCAAAGGAGTATCTATTGGCTTTCATCTTGCTTTATTCACTTTCCTTTGAAATCCAAAGTTACCTACTCTCGGCCTGTTTGGTAAGTGGTAGTAAATGGTGGTAATGGTATGAATTTGTACATAGATTTGTTTGAGAAATCAATGTCCATATACTAATGGTAGTTCACCCCAAATTATCTGTTTTTGCTCACTTATTTCCTTAACCATCCATTACCATTTGGGGGGTAATATTTGGGTAAGGTTATTTTGCGTGTCAAATTGCACTTAAATTAATTCTCATCACCATATCTATAACCAGCTACCAAAAACGGTCCGTAAAAGCTATATATATAGCCTTCACATCTTTGGACGATCTCTCTTGGTTTTGACTACTCAAGATGTAGAAATTTAATAGTTCATAACTTCAGAATTACTAACATCATTTCAGTTATAGGAGAATTGATACTATTGAACTCTGTTTGCAGCACTAACATTTAGATATATACTTGTGTAAAATATAGTAATAAATCAATATGGTTTTTCTGCTTGCAGTAGTAGTTTACTACGAAGTATACAATTCTTGTGTGGGATTTCCTTGCTTTTTCTTCATCCCTTTGTTGCTGTTCTAGTGTTTCATGCAAACTTTAACTTGACTCCATGAGTGTACTTTTTCTTATAAGTTAACCAATTTTAAATACAAGAACAAACTATCTGGTACCATTCACACATCAGTCTTCAGCAAGCTTAGTTTAGACAAATTTTTTTATTACTGGTGTTTTTCTTAGGCTGATGTCCCATGCTTTTTAGATGAATGAACAAAATTCTACACTAGACATCTGAAGCAACTGCTCATTCTTCATCCAGAATGTCTGCCCTGCTTCTTCTTCTTCTTCTTTTTTTATTTTTTATTTGCACCTAAGCATTTTGGGAGTAAGGCTTTGTTGTTGCACCTGAGCAGTTGACAACTTGACACGCTATTCATGCAAAAGTTGATGTATCCATCCAGCTGATCTGACTAGACAAAGTAACCTGAGTTTTGTAGTATGATGATTACAGGAGAATAGCTGAAGTAAGAGAGAAGGAAAGGCGAAAAGCTTTAGAGGACATTATATACTGCTTAATTGTACGCAGATTCGTGGAAACAAACATCTCTATGATCCCAAATATATCCCCGAGTTCAGATCCAACTGGCAGGGTGGATTTCTGGCCAAACCAAGAACAGAAACTCGAATCTGTACACTCTGTGGAAGCATTAGAGATGATACAAAGCCACTTGTCCCTTTTGCTAGGCGAGCGTTTTGTGGGTCCCTTGCAGACTCTTGTTGAGATCAGCAAAGTAAAACTTGGAAAGTTGTATGCTGCCTCCATAATGTATGGGTATTTTCTTCGAAGAGTTGATCGGAGATACCAACTTGAAAGAGCTATGAAAACTCTTCCGGAAGACTTTGGCAAAAACCCAACCAGGCTTCAGGATTCGTTACCTCAAAACCCACTATGGGATCCAGATTCACTAATTCAAATCCCAGCTGATGGAGATATAACAAATTATGGCCCTTACGAGGAACCTATGGATATTGGTGATGGTGAGAACTACAAACTGAGGTCGTATGTCATGTACTTGGATCCTGAAACTCTTCAGAGCTATGCAACCATAAGATCTAGGGAAGCAATGTCGTTGATTGAAAGGCAGACCCAAGCCTTGTTTGGTCGACCAGATATCAGGATTGCCGATGGGGGTGTGTTGGAGACACAGAACGATGAAATTATTTCGATTACTTTCTCAGGACTGACGATGCTAGTTTTAGAAGCAGTTGCGTTTGGTTCATTTTTGTGGGATGCAGAAGACTATGCTGAATCCAAGTACAATTTTGTTAATAGCTGAAAAAAGTTGTATGGTTCATCTTCATTATACAAATTTGTAGAGAGCCAACCCATATTGGTTGTTGTTTTCCTTGTATATTGGAATTCTCAATGAAATTACATAACAGAGGGAGGTTTTTTTTTTTTCTTTTCTTTTTTTTTTTTTTGGGGGGGGGGGGGGATGGGTTGGTCTCTCTTGGTTCTCTCTGATTTCCGGGAGGTACAATCCTTGGGGGAAGATTCGGCCTCGAGCCGAATGCCTGAGAGCCAGTGGTGGATTTCGTTGATATCACATTTCACGCTAGTCATAATTATAGATACAATATGATTTACTCCGAGTATGTATAAGATTAGAACTTTAGAAGGAAGATCAGTATTACATCAACTTTATTGTTGAAACAATGTAATTAAGGAATTTTGCTTTAAGAATATAAAAATACACTCGCAAGAAAATAAGTACAAAATATATAAGAATTACTACCTCCGTTTCATATTAGTTGCAATTTTGGAATATTTTATCTCTTATAAATAATACTCTAAAGTTGCAACTAATATGAAATAGAGGTAGTAAAAAGAGTTACAAAAGTTGACTTCCATATTAGGAGAGTACAGAGTATAGTAGAAGTTTAAAGGTCATTAAGATCACAAAAAGAAGTTTAAGGATACATTTAAATTATAGTAGATGGATTTGGTACTTTATCAACTTTATTTAGCTCATTAGTTGCTAATTAGTCAACCCAAGCAATAATGTTAATGTTTAGATGAGATTTGATGTAAAATTTAGATTTCAACAGTATCAACAAAAACTTTGTTTATTACATTTTTTTAACTAGTGTCAATTACCTTATCAACTTCCGTTTTTATTCCTACTCAAGATCTTATGCTAATGACAATGCAATACTAAATCGTGTTATCAATATTTAATTATGCATTTTTAAACTTACCCTAATAATCAATTAAAATAAATTAAACACACGATGTATAAACACCCCATTAAACGATTTTTGAAAACAAAAACCAATTATAAGAGACCAACATCACATTTCACAATAATAGCAAAATTGTCCAAAAATCTTATTGTTTTATATAAACTCATAACAAAATTTATATAAACCATTTAGTGGTACAAATAACACCAAAAAAATCAAACTTTAGGGTTGGGGGGTCCATATTACAATTGGGTGGCAACATCAAACACATAAAGTCGTTAAGTAGACAACTGTTGAACCTGGTCATAGCCAACCAAATAAATTTGTTTTATATCCAATCTTATCCATTTTATTTGTAATGCCATTAAATTCGGGTTGTTAATAACATGCAATATCACTTGGATTATCCAAATTCTTCGGTCACCATCATCTACTCGGGTCATTTCTACCCGCATGCATTTCCGTGAATTTTTGACGTCGACTATATATTCATATTATAAGCTATACATTTAAATTTTACAAGTTATTGTTTAATCTCATTCTTCTCTACTTTTTTTGTCCCTTTATTTATTTCGTGTGAGATGCTTACATAATTTGAACATTATTGTTCAAAATGGAAAGCCAAATTAGTAACGATGACTTCTTAATTGCTTTGCTTTGCTTTCTACGGTAATATAACATCTCTAATCATTCACACGTACACACATGATTGACACACGTGCAGATGCAACTTTGGGAGGAATTTAATTGGGTTCTCAATTTCTAAATAATTAATGTTCGAGTTAAATAAAGTGCGTGTATTCACGAGATCACACAAAATAAGTTCAATTGACTACACTTACTTAATTTTTTCCAATTTTTAATAAAAACAATGCATTATAACAAAAAAATGAAAATCATAAATATATTTCAAGTATATATAATGAGTTTAGGGTTGCGTATACATTATATCATGACCGTCATATATTCTCATAGTCACATGCTATGCCGAGATTACATTTACATTAAAAATGACGATTTAGTGATTATTAGAGACGAACTTCAAAACATAAAAAGTTGTAGAGTGGGGAGGGGGGGAATTGTATAGTCCATCCAGTTAAGTTTTAGGCTGACCTGGAGGCATTATCTCATAGTATATCCTAAGTTCCTAAGATCCCCACAATATAACTAATAAAAAGCTTAATTGTAATGCCATGGACATGGAGTGCTCTTTACTCATATGAGTTGTCAGTTGCAAAACGCAGTACAACGACCATTTTCAACAATTTGACATTCTCGCTAGATCATTTAATGTAACAAAAACAACCCCTAAAAGGACATTTATACCTTCAACATCAACATCAACATCTATCGTATACTAATTATTGCACTCCATTATAAGATACTCCTTTTTTATAAAAATAATAAAAATATATTAAATTGCATGTGTATATAATACTTAATGTAGAATCAATTTCATCCAAGGCTATTTCGGGTAAAGCAACTCACATTTTCTCTTGTCAAGAATTCAAGATTAAAGTTTTTAGGCATTAATTAAAACACATCAATGTAATCCTTTAATCGTGTTAGCTTATTTATTTTGTCATAAAAGGTGGCAAAATGATTGTTATGATTCCTAAAATACCCTTGGATTAGAGGTCTTTTTTCACAAATTAAAGATTTATTTTGAAAGTATTACTCCATAGTGTTTATATATACCAAGGATTTTTCTTTAATTTAGAGTTGATTGCTTTTGAAAATTGACCTTTAATAAGGACTAGTTTGAAAATCTTGGTGATACGTGTAATGTTAAGTATTGGCCTGAGTGATATCATAATTTAACATAATTAATTTAATGGATGATATCATCTGAGCTCAAAAAGTGTGCATCTCACTAATGGTTATTAGTTGCACCCAATACTTTATGATTAAAGATATCGTTATTATTCAATGTTATGCATTAACGATTGTATTTGATCTAATAAAGTAATATCTACGAAATTAATGTCAAGATGTAGGATCCAATTAATGAATTTGGAGAAAATAAAGATTCGTATGATTGTTATATATCTATCATTAGTTACCATGTATTAATCTTTCCATTGTCACCACGTACATATTCAATAAATCAATAAATATAATATGGAAGATTATAGAGGATAAGAACTAATGTCTTCTCATAACTATAAGTAGTCATAATCACTAGTTACGTGAATAACCAGCTTGTAATGTTGTCAAATGCAGGGTAGCTATAAACTTATACAACTATGTATTTTAGATATTATTATTGGTTGTTTGATGTATTTATATTATAATATTATATTTTATATTTAAAGTCTTAATAATTTTATAATACGGTAGGTGGGTAATAATAAGCATACACCATGCATCACATTTTATTTCAATTTAACCTAGTGAAAAAATTACATTGTTACATAATAAAATCATCAATCGTTTTTTTTTTTTATCGAAAAGACTTAGCTTTCATCTATTAATTTTGCTAATATTCTTGCAATAATTTATAAATTGATGCCAACTTTGATTGCATGGAGCATAAATAAAGTGACTAAGTATCTCTGCTTTTTGACTTTGCATCCCATGAATACCTTAAAGAAGTAATAGTATGATAATTGGCAAATATACCTAGCTTACAACAAAGGAGATTTGAATCTTAGCCAAGAGGTATTAAGTTCAACTCTATCGACTACTTTATTTTGTGAATAGTAGTGGTACAGACTAGCTAGAGAGCAATTTTAATTTTTAGTTTCGATTTATGGGATTGATATCGGAGGTTTTTCTAATAACAATACTAGTTAGATTGTTTCACATACTAAAAGATTTCGACTTTTGACATATAGAGTCACGATATAAGACAACAAGACTTAAATATCAAACGGCTAATCAGCATGTGGCAGAATTAGCACGTACAATATTATATATACTTGTAGTATACTAGTATATAGCGCTCGTAGTCAAAAGAAAATGCAATTATTTTATGGGCTCAATTTGTTAATTTTATAAGAACGTATTATGTTTAAAGTGAGACCGGATCAATTGATCTGATAAATTATATTTCGTGGGAGAATATGTAAGACCATGTCATCCCGTGTTACCATCATCGTAACTAGAATAAATTTGAAGAGTACTAGTGTTAAGTTATACTGAGTCATATACGTAACTTTCACATACATAGATTGCTTGAAGAAGGAGAATACCAAAGTTGAAAAAAAGGATTGATTCCATATGTATAAGTATACAACATAGTAGTACAAAATAATAAACTCTAGTAGGAGAATAACTCTCATACATTATTCAAGAAACGCCTAAATTATTAGAATAAAATTCATTCATCCAATAATTTGATTTGTCTACTAATTTTGTGACTACAATATAGTAAGACAGAGACTAAATTTGTCGGACTAAATTCATATAAACTGTTGCAACTAGTCTTTTCAATTCCCATTTGCTAATATTCAAATAGAAGATATAATTAATATTTTGTCTAGTTTATGGTGACATACACTATTTGTTAATTAGAAAGAAGGTGCCAAATATTTTAGGTGGAATATAATGCTTACAATAAAACTATAATTTATATTATTAATATTATTATTAATTACAAGTTAAATAATTAATGTTAGGAGGGAGGCTCAACCAACCTTATCATTAAAATTATATTTGTGGTTTTTATATAACAAGGCAAAACAAAAAGGATGATTAGTACTATTATTATAAGCACATGGCCTAGGAAAGTTGCTTATTAGCCAATCCATATTATGGAGGATATGATTATATGGACGACTACTAAATAGAGTATGAAATAATTAAATTAAAACATATAATTACAATATTTTAGATAATTATTTGAAAGACCCCTCTAAAATTAATTATTTGGTCTCCACCTCCCCAACTTTATTCTAAAGTTCTAAACAGTTGGCCCCTTATTGCAATTATTGTTTTTCAAAGGTCTACTCTTTTTGTTTTTGTTTATTTTTAGGTAACGCTCTTTTGGTATTTGTTGTCAACTCGTAAGACAACTCCGAGTGAGATACCATTCACATGTACTTTTTTTTTTTTTTTTTAAGAGAAGTAGTGATTGAATTAAGGGTATTTTGGGAATATTTAGTAAAATTATTAGATACATATATGAAAATAATAAATAAATGAATAAATAGTTTATCTTTCTTTATGAGTCATCAAATAGGAAAAAAGAGACAAAACTCACAAAAGCTTAGAGTATAGGAGATTATATTAATAAAGTATATTTTTTTTTTTTTTTTGAGAAATAATAAAGTATATTGTAATAATGAAATTTCTATGCATGACATCTTAACCTAGCAATAAAACCAAAATATTAGGTACATAAATCACACATGCTCGGTTGCTCACTTGCTTTGTATAGGCTTAATACAATTCACAGAATTATGTTCATTATCAAATAAATGATACACCCACCCTCGTAAACATTTTAAGATAAGTGTTAAAAAATACTTTTCAGTTTCACACTTATCAAATCATAATTTTAACTATTAATATCTTTATTTATTACAGTAATTTATAAATAAAAAAAAATTACTTACTTTGAAAACATACACATATATATTGAGATGATCTTAACAAAATTCCATAACTTTCTTTTTCTTATAAAAATTACCAAAATTTGAGAATTTCAAAATATATAATACTCCGCATGGTAAATAGAGTAAAAATAAATGTATTCCATTTAAAAAATAACGAACAAAATATGAATTATATTAGATACAGAGTAGTACTTGTATTCGTATAGTCGTATCTATACAATAAATAATTTTAAAAAAAAAAACCTTCATGAAATAATTAATACTGACCCTAATCACCCAACATCCTAGTTAAAACAGTGGCAAAATCGTAATAAACAAAGAATTCATAACGGCATAATTGGCATTATAAAACAATAAACGTTCAGCATATAAAGACATACATACACATTCCAAATAGCTAGCCATCTTTCTTCTCTTCCTCTCATTCTCTTTCTCTCTCTTCATTTTTCTCTCTCCTCTTCTTCCTTATATCTCGCTTACTTCTGTATAACCTTGTACAATACGTAACAGAAAATTAAAAAAATTAGAGAGAGAAAATAAAACTCCCCCATTTTATTTACTCATTTTTCTATCACAAAAATATAAGAAAAGAACAAAAAAATGTCAGGAGGAAGAAGAAGAAACAATAATCTCCTCCTTTCTATTACTCTCTCTCTCCTCTCCTTCTTTACCGTCGTTTCAAACGCTTCGTTTAATCTCCCTACCATCTCCTTCGACGACGGATACACCCCTCTCTTCGCTGATTTTAATATTAAAAAGTCCGAGGACGGCCGTAGTGCTAACCTCCACCTCAATCGCTATGCCGGTACGGTTCTTTTTTGTTCGTGTCTTGTTGTTATGTGGGATTTTGTTTTATTTTGAATTTTCTACCCTATCAGTTTGGGTTAGGTTCGTGTCATGTGAAACGAAATTTTGTAACATACATACCCTTGAAGTTGGAACTAATATTGTTATTGTATTAATTTTATGTTTTATCTAATTAATATTAATGTTATGATTATAATTTTCAGGGTCAGGATTTATTTCATCACAATATTACGATTATGGATTTTTTAGCTCAAGGATTAAGCTGCCCGGTAATTACACGGCTGGAGTCGTGGTGGCCTTCTACGTAAGCACACCTTCCATGAACAATATTATTATAATAACGTGTTTTCCATTTGGTAGTTAGTAATAAATCAAACAGTCGTAATATTATAATAATCTCGATGTTGATTTGTATTTGAATTATGTTATACAGACGTCTAATGGAGATGTATGGGAGAAGAATCACGACGAGTTGGACATCGAATTCTTGGGAAACTTGAAGGGGAAGCCATGGAGGTTTCAGACTAACATGTACGGAAATGGAAGCACAAGTAGAGGAAGAGAAGAGAGATATCGTTTATGGTTTGATCCTACTAAAGAATTTCATCAATATAGCATTCTTTGGACCCGCAAAAACATCATGTATGTTCCTCTTCTAACATTTAAGCTTATTTGATTTCGTTTTTGTATCTGTATTGTATCCGTATCCGTGTTCGTACAGGTAAAACATTTTCATATGCTGACATATTACTGTTAGGCTAATTAAGGTTATGTCAATATGGTATTAATGTTCGTGTTTGGTCATTAAAACGAAGGTTACAAATAATTCCAATTGTATTCGTGGTCGTTTGGGTAGAACATATGTGTTGACACGTTTGGTGGGTTAAGGGAGACTTTTAGTAGCTGGGTTTTGGCTTTTACCAACTAGGCAACAACTTTTTGTAACGCGGAATTTTGAAAAAAATAAAAGACGAGAGATTTGTGGTGGATGATTATGGAATGGAGGAGAGCGTTTCAACGCCAAAGATTTTATTTTCTTCCTTTGGTCATTTTTTGACCATATTTTATATTTTTAGTTTCATGCGCCTCTCTTTTTTCTCTATTCTTAGGTAACTTTTCATATTGGCTATTATTCGAATTTTGACGTCTTCTTTTTTTCTATATTTTGATGCTAAAATTATACTTTCTCTGGATAGAATCATAAAAATCTTTTCCTATTTTAAATATTTAATCTGTTATTGGAGAGCTTTCCTATTTTATGGGAATTTAGAAATTGGGTTCATATGGTGCCCAATTTACTACTCGTACTTTATATAGTGGTTTATTTTCATAATAATAATAAAATAAAGGTGTAAATAGTAATAAAAAAATCTTAGCCATTAAGTTGTAATCTTTGCTAGGTAACATAACGTTGTACCTAATATTTGCTAGCTAAGCATATTATAATACTCGGTATTTCATTTAAGTATGAAATCATTTTCCTTATTTATTTCATTTATTACAAATATACATTTTTTGTAATTCAAAATTATTAATGATTTGACATCTTCAAATATTTCAACGCAACTAGGATGTTCAATATCTCCATACCAATATATCATTGCTTAAGAGGAAAATATGATGTCTCATGATGTTTTATATATATATATTCGCTCATTAATAGGTGTAAAAATACTACTCGTATAGATATCATGGGCCATTAATAATCTAGTCCCTACTGACCCATACATTCATAATGTTCTTATGACCGTAGTTGATAAATTCATAAGAGTTATCCTTAAGAAGGTATTGTTATAGTGTGAGGGTATGTACTCCTGGTTATTACTAGCTAAACCGTCCAACTTAATTAAATAAAGATAGAGGATGATTACGTGAAGGAAAATCGTGATTGCGAAACAACCTCCCTTATACATAGATAGTCTAATTTGAATAAGTTGTGAGCTCCTTTTACTAAAATTGATAATTTGAATAAGGTGTGAACATAAGTGATCATTAAATAAATTTTGACTAATAAAATTTGTACCACAAACATGGAAGTATGGAATATATCCCAGCTGTGGTGCACTATTAAACGGGTCATTTTCAAACAAAGCAGCTTGCCTAACTGTAAACCTTATTTAGGTGATCCTTATTTAAACATTAGCTAGCCATCCCATGATTTTAAGTAAACAATATCATTCAACTTTTATGTTGGTTACTACAATTCCTACTCAAATTCATTAATTATTTTGTAAGATTTAAATTCAAAGTGATGATGTATCATTCATTTCTTTTGCAATGACATAAATGTTTTGAATTTGCACGCTCCTTTGCCTTCAATCATTATTTCTACATTTATAGAGTTTCGTTTTCAAAATTCATTTTAGCCCCTATGCAATTAATCATTTTTTTTTATGAGGGGCAAATTTGTCATAAATTTTTTGACCAACTACTCTTTTCCACTATTTGATTTTTTATAATTACTTGGATATAAAGACAATTTCAATATTTTAATTTACATTATAAAGTTCTTATATGGTTGGCTAGAGCAACCATATACGAAGTATGTAGTATAAGATATTATATACAAGTATCCATTAGTTTAACTGCTAAAGTCTTGAAGATGACGTATATTTCTTGACAAGTTGACATTGCTTTAAAAAACCAAAGATTGTGCGATATATATTGTATGAAGCATGTATGTAGTAGTATCGTTTTTTTTACGTATTTTAGAGTTGATCACTCTTAATTATTAATATAATCATTTTGAGATGACTTAGAACTATCAACAGTAGATATTCATATTCTTAACTTGTATCTTACTAAACTGTTACATATTTTCATGCAATGCAGATTTTACGTAGACAACGTCCCAATCAGAGAAATAGTCCGCAATGAAGCAATGGGATCAGACTACCCATCTAAGCCAATGTCCCTCTACGCCACCATATGGGACGCCTCGAGCTGGGCCACCGCGGGTGGTAGATACAAGGTTAAGTACGAGTTTGAACCCTACGTGTCCGAGTTCACTGACTTTGTGCTAGACGGGTGTGCTGTAGACCCTATTGAACAAGTAGCGGGCACAACAAGCTCCTCGGACTGTAACGCTAAGAAGGAAGAAATCGAAAACAAGGAGTTTTCTCAAATTACTCCTAGGGGACAAAAGGCCATGAAGTGGTTTAGGGAGAAGTACATGTACTACTCATATTGTTATGACACGCTCCGATACCCGGTCCCACCACCGGAGTGTGTGATCGTGGCGTCCGAGCAAGAGAGGTTCAAGGAGACGGGAAGGCTCAAGTTCGGGTCTATTCCTAAGAGGCAAAGGAGGAGGAGAGGTCGTGGAAGGAAGCAAATTAACAATGTTGAGTCTAAGGAATTACAAGCTAATATGTAAGTTTGTGATGTAATAATTGGTTTATTGATGTAAATTAAGAAGAAATTAGGTGATGAGGGTGATTGTGAGTGAATATATATATATATATATGTGTGATTTATTCTTTTGGGGTTGTTTTGGGTTAATATAAATGATAAAGAGTTAATTATGTGGAAGCATAGTACATTTTACACATATATAAACATGATTCTTTCTATTCTTTTATTATTTCTTGAAGTTATTATATGACAAAAAAAAAGACTTACAATTATTATGTGGATGCTATATATTTTACTAATTGAATTACCTTATTATTGTTTTGATTCATAAGAAATTGAAAGTACATTTGTGTATTATTAACAATTACTAGCTACTATATATAAAGAGCTAAGGTAACTTAGAAATCAAGGCAAACACATTTATCCTACAATGCATACTATGGCTTGAAATTTGCTAATCTCGCTTGAACTGATCAAGTTATAGCATTAATTACACTTTCACAGTATAAGAATATAACATTTGTTTATTCCGAAATCACTTCCTTAATTACACAAGTCAGGAGATCTCAAAACATCTATTCGTATACCCTCAGAACAACACAAAAATGCCACCAAAATTGAGAAATCCGATAAGTCATTACGATGGATTAATCACTACTCGGGAGTAAATTGCATGTGTGTTATCCTAATAGTACAAATATGTACTCTGTAGTAACTTAAATGTATAAAGAAATAAATGTTGAGTATACATAGTCAATCTCTACTTCAAAAAGTACAAATGTACAACCAAAATAGTGGCATAGAAATATAGAATAAGCTAAGCAAAGGCGACACTTTGTATCTTTCCAATTACAAGGCCTAATAAAATACCGTTGAAAAAATTGCTTACAACTTAAGTAGCTCACTAGTTAATTGATAACGAATTCACAGAAAAAGAAAAAAAGAATCAAAATTGCTAAAAAGAATAGAAAGAATATAACTTAATAGTTCAACTTACTATTGCACTTGTGAACCCAGTGACCAATTAGAATTTAGATGGAATAAGCCAGTATCGCACGTAGAATAGAACAATTTAGTAAACAGAAAGTTCACATGTTATTACTTTTGTTTTCGATCTCTAAAATCATGCCGCAAATTAGAATTGATATGTTCACAAGAAGTTTAACAGATTGTGCTTTAAGGAAGTGTATATCATATTTTCATACAATAAAGTCTAAAAACATAAAGATTTTGCTAGCAAAAGTGACGACATTATCTTATTGATATTATGATTTATGCTTAAGTTTAATTAGCGGGATAATTTCACTCCCAAATATTAGTAGTTTAGCCTGATTAAACTAGTATATTAAGAAAAAGAAAGGATATGATTTATAATATTGTACATAGGTTCGGACTTGTAAAAGAGAGACAAAATATTAATAATCCTTTTTAACGCATATCTTATTAATGAAGCCATGAAGATAGCCGACATATTACGTAAATCAACTAGATTAATGACTTCAATGTGTGATGATTGATGAGCTTAAGAGTAATTCATACCCTTTTTTTTTGTTTTTTTTTTTTTGGCATTCCAAACTTTAATTGAAAAAATAAGTAATGTAGTGTTCTCTAAAATTACCCATTGCATGCATGATAACCATCCATTAGAAATTACGGAGTATGAATTTATGATCATTTCTTATTTGGAGAATAAAGTTTAATGGTTGCTAATTAATGATACTCATTTGCAATATTTTTTCCATTTTACAATCATTTTTGTTAACGTTGTTGTTTTGGTCACCCATTATTCTTCATAGTAAAAATTAAAAAACACAATACAAATATAATATATAATGTATATATTAATGTATTATTAGATTAACTAAAGGATTAATTAATTGTTGGTGGTAGTTAGAGTTGCCATGTTCTTAACCTGGTTGGGTGAGCTTCTTATTATTCCATCGACCGGCCAAGCTGTATAGCATGCAACTATTTTAGGCAAACTTTTGTAATGTAGCTCTTCCCTTAAAAAGTAATCCGTATTACATTCATTAGCTAGCTAGGTGGCGCGGTTGTTAATTGTCCGCATATATTCCTTCATGACTCGTTGACTTTTCCAACCCAAACCCTTAAAATAAGTTTGTCTAAAATAATTGAGCATCTGGCTACATATACTATGAGTTTCAATTAGTTAATACTAGAGTTGATCATGGATCGGATTCTAATTTCAAAAAATAGTTGATTATAAGTTGAGAAGTTTTTTCCTAACTCCAAATTTGAGATCGAGTTAAACCAATCCGAGCTATACTATATATATGGAAGATTATAACTAGATCGAGTCAAGATTGATCAACTCTAATTTAAACACATTGTTCTCTTTTTTTTTCTTCACATTACCATGCATTCATGCGTCATTACTTAAACAAAAAGTAAGGAAAAAAGTAGCTTAGTTAAAACTTCTGTGAACAAAATTTGCTATTCACGGATACACCTACTGACCTACTAAGTGGCTATGTTCAAGTAATTGTCTATTGACTCTATATTCATCCGATTTGTTGCAACTTGCGAGTAGTTATATTATCATCTACCCTAAGCAATTAATTAAACCAACATAATTAATGCAAATTAGAGAGCAAAAGGTCAAGAAGTACGTGTTATACTATTCAATTCCCTCCAAATTAAGAAAAGGTAGTGCTTATTAAAAGTCTAGTAGTACAATCTTCTTTTCTTTTAATACTACTCCCCAAGTTTAATGTTATTTGACCGCTAAATATATGGACATGATCCTCAAATTCATTAATTATTGAAAATTTTGACATTTACTACCACTAAAAACACCATGTTTCACATTTGCTACCTATTTAAATTTTTTTTTTACTATCACCTAAATAAGAGTTTGTTAAAAATAACTACCAGTTAACGATTTTCGTCACTGTAGTTGTTAGTGGGCCCCACCCAAAGTAACTACCACCCTTTAATACTTTCTCTCTCCCCGTATCTACCCCCCTCTCTCTATCTCCTCCTATTCAATTCTCACAACCTCCATTATTAACCACATTGAAATTTTTTTATTAAATTTATCCAAATATTCTCTACTTTTTATCTTTCTAATACAATATTTCACTACTTCCACCATTCTCCTTAATTACTGTATTTTTTGATAAATAGGCACGAAATAATAGGACAGAGGGAATAGTAAGTTATTTGTGGACCAATCGTGGTAATGCTTAAGTTGAGAAAAGGAACAAATATATGTTACGTCACTACGTGCATTGGCTCCACCACGCCGCCCTTCTATAAAAAGTTTGACGTTCTTAATTGGCTACCTAATGGCTAAGGAAGGGTCTTATTATCGGGGCGTTCAGTTCCGAAAATGGAAAAGGAGTGGAAAGGAAACAAATATGAGGGGAGAAAGAAATTATTAGCTATTACCTTTTCATTTATTTGGTTTAACCATGGAAAGGTTATTTGTTAAGAGAAGGGTAAGGGTATTTGTTACCCCAAGTTTTTGAGAGGTAACAAATGAGGGGCATCCATTACCCTTAGTTAATGGTAATTGTTACCATGTCTTCAAATCAAACACACGGTAACAGTATCGGTTTAATCGAATCCATTTCCAATCCAAAAAATACACTAACCAAACGCCCCCTTATTTGCTACCCAATACTACGGAGTATAAAGCATAGGGTGTTATACATCTTACGGTTAGGGTATTAAATTACATCATTACACATACTCTTTCAATTTATTTATTTTTTTAAAAAAAGGATAAGAAATTGAGATACATATCAATAGAACAATTCTTAGGGCCGTTTGGTTTGGGGTAATCAGGAAAGAAAAAGAGAATCAAGAAGGATGATTACCTTAGTTGTTGTTTGTTATGTCAATTCAATCATTCTCTTTCCCCACTTAATTACCCCAAAGTCCTTTACTCTCATTCCCCACCCCCCACATGGTATTTGCATTCCCTTTCCCCTAAGCCACCAACACCACCACTGCTCCACCTGCACTAACACCCCACCATCATCGGAACCCTTTCCACCACTGCCCCATCAGTACCGCCACTCTTCTGGTCTTCCCACCACCGTCCCGTCAGCACCGCCACCGCTCCACGACCCAAAACCATCGCTCGGTAGAAACCCCCTCCCCCCTAACCACTCATCCACCGACTTAAAATCTCATGAGCCACACGAAATCAACCACCCTCCACCTTAAAAACACACCACCCGCAAGAAATTAACCATCCACCACTCTAAAAGTACCCATTCCAACTCATGAAATCAACTAGCTTTAGAGAGTCGCATCGGGTCGAGCCGTCGAGGTGGTCGGCGCAGCAACCGGAGGGAGAGTGTTAGTGGGTAGCGGGTAGCAGGAGGGTCATGGGTTGGCATATGTGGAGAGATGCTTGAGGTGTGGTGAGAGTAAGGTTGTAGAGGAGAGATTTGGTTGAGGTATGGTGAGAGGAGGTTGTATGAGGTGTGGTTAGAGAAGGTGGAGTATGAATGTCAATCCAAACAACAATTATAATCAAACACTTTTACATTCCTTTCTCCTCGTTTTTCTTTGTTGATTCCATTCCGATTATCCCGTACAAACCAAACAACCCCTTATTCTACAAATATACAAGTAATTCTTAGGAGTTATGATGCATAAGGGTGACGGATGATCAAGAGAAAAATATTTTATTCATCGTTTTTTTTTATAAAAAAAAGCATAATATCGAGTACGAGACTACGAGTTTGAGTGGTTTATATCTAGCTAATTCATTATTTCTCAATCTATTCCTAAATTATACAAAGTAGTATCATATAAAGAAAAATAATTTTGATTGTCATCATAATGAACAATCAATTAATTCTCTATCCACATCCAATCTCTTATGCTACAAAATTGATATGAGATGTTTACAAATAATTACGGAGTACACATTTTACACATGATGAATGGAGGAAGAAAATATTTGAATTGCAACATCTTAGAGATTAATTATTGACCCTCAAACCATTTAGTTATTACTCATATATAAAAAGTTATATGGAAAATGTACTTTTATAATGAATGTCATTGAACTACTTTTACTAAAACACCTCGATTTTCATTTTTTACTTTTATTTTCACATCCATTTTTGAGCTAATACTCGTATCAAACAAGCTCGACCAAAACCGATCCTCCTAGCAGATGGGTCTTCTTAGCCAGTAAGATCGTTCCACCAAGTGGAACAGTCATGGCCTGGGCAAGTGATTGATAGATATAACCGTATAACCCTATTGCTATACGGATAAGTACCGATTCCAACCACTTAACCCGACCCGAATCCAGCCCAATGGCCACCTCTACCTGTAATATCCATTACTTCGATTATCCAATATTAGATACTTGGCCTTTTGGACTTGGTCGTCTGATAAAAATATTTTGGCTTCCAAGCCCACCATTACCCCATAAGCCCGTTTAATGGCCCGTTAATACTTGAGCATGAGAGTTCACAGTTTTGCCTTTGCTTTGAATTTGCAGTCTCTCTCCTCCAAACAGAAGGTATTCCAATTAACTCCTTTGATTTCCTGTTTATAAGCTCAATTTGAATTAAATTTAGTAATTTTGAATGTTTTTCTTTAATGGGTTATTATTATTATCATCAATTTGTTGAAATAGTTACTGGGTTGTTAAGTTAATTCTTCAAATTTGAGTAAAAATGCATAAAATTTCAACAACAACAAGCCAATGTCTAATATTGATGCAAAAATTGGTGAAAAACCCTCCTGTAAAAGCGTTTTTTCTATTAAAATCTTCAGTTTTACATGAAATGGAGCACACCCATGATTCCATTTATTTGATTCTGAATTTCCTAATTAGCTACAATTTTTTGCCCCAAGCCCAGTTTTTTACCCTTCAACTACTTTCTGGTAGAATTAAATCATCTTCACCATTGAATGCTGCATCAATTGTTCAGAGTTTCACCAAGAATTACCCAATTTCACAACCCATTTGTGTTCGTCTTCAAGAAATTATCTTTAATGCATATGTTGAAGCTAAATTGCCTGAAGAGGCTTTGAATTCCTTCATTGAGATTATTAATCACGGTTTGGTACCGAGGTCGAATTTGTTTAATTCATTGTTGATTCTTCTATTAGAAAGCAATAATCTTGAAAAGGGTTGGTGGGTTTTTAATGAATTTAAGGGTAAAGTTGAATTGGATGTGTATAGTTTTGGGATTATGATTAAGGGTTTTTGTCAAGGAAATGATTTGGAAAGGGCTTTTAATGTGTTGGATGGATTAGATGATGTGGGAATGTCTCCAAATGTTGTTATTTATACCACTTTGATTGATGGGTGTTGTAAAAATGGTGATATTGCAAAAGCAAAGGATTTGTTTAACAAGATGGAGGAGTTGGGATTGGTTGCTAATCAGCATACTTACACCGTTTTGATGAATGGATTATTCAAAAAAGGTTTTAAGAAAGAAGGGTTTCGACTATATGAGAAGATGAAGGCTTGTGGAATTTTACCTAATATTTATACCTACAATAGCATGATGAATGAGCATTGTAAAGACGGATTGTTGGGTCGAGCCTTCCTTTTGTTTGATGAAATGGTTGAGAGAGGTTTGGCGTGCAACATTGTGACTTACAATATATTGATCAGTGGACTGTGCAAGGAGAAGAACCCGTGGGAGGCCGAGAATTTGATTACAAAGATGAAAATCTATGGCCTGAGTCCAAATTTGATCACCTATAATACCCTAATTGATGGATTTTGTAACATTGGGAAGTTAAGCAAGGCTATGAGTTTATTTGGACAAATGAAGTTGGATGGTCAAATGCCAACTTTGGTGACGTATAATACTCTTATTTCAGGTTTCTCGAAATCTGGAAATTCCAAAAGGGCTACCAATTTAGTCAGGGAGATGGAGGAGCGAGGTATCACCCCATCTAAAGTGACGTACACAATTCTAATCGATGCAATTGTTCGTTCTGGTAACATGGAGAAGGCATTAGAGATGTATTATTCAATGGAGAAGCTTGGAATGGCAGCAGATGTTTATACTATTGGTGCCTTGATAAATGGATGGTGTAGCAAGGATAGTATGTTAGAAGCATCGAAGTTGTTCAATTCTATGGAGATGATGCATTTACATCCAAGTGATGTGATTTATAATATGATGATTAATGGTTATTGCAGAGAGGGGAGTTCTTACAGGGCATTGCGGTCACTGAGAGACATGAGGGAGAAGGGGATGATTCCAAATGTTGCTAGCTACTGTTCAACTATACACGCTCTGTGTAAAGACAGGAAATTAAAAGAAGCTGAAATTCTAGTTGAAGAGATGTTGAGCTTAGGACTGAAACCATCAAACGCAGTCTACAATGTGCTATCAAAAGCAAAAGAAGATGATAGATGATTATCCTGTCATGCCACATGAATAGGCCAAATGGAAATTAATTGTTGGAACAAGATGGAGATGGATGACCGAGCTCCTATCATAGGGGAGTCAGAAAGAGGTGACAAGGCCTCTAAATCAGTGTGGAGCTACACAAATGTTCTCTCATGATCGCAATCTTAAAGCTTGATTTCGTTGGTTTCTTGGATCAAATTGGTGAGTTTACTGGATTTTTGCTGTTAAACTGATATTTTGCACATATGCATACTGAATACCTACTTTTAACGTAGCTTTATAGAATTTTAGTCTGTTTTCTACTTTACATTATTACCCTTTGTTAAGAAAATGTTCCTCATAACTTAATTTTGCTCCTTTTTTTTATTTATTTATTCATTTTTTTTTTTTTTTACATTGATGTTCATTGAAGCATCAGCTTAGGTTTGTCATAGTTTGGACTTTGGATAGTTTTGAGCAAGCTGTATAGCATGTATTTTAGCTAATTTGGGCATATTGCATTTTGTACAGTTTAGTTTTTATCAGAGAACACTACTAGACTAAGAATGGTGTGTAAACCATCAAGACATCCACAAATATGAGATGTAGAACTGTTGATGCTTTATGTGAGTGTAGCTACAGCATAAATAGAGTAATGGAAACTGGTTGCAGAAGGTGAATTTAAGAGCCATACATTTTCAGTCTTTGTTATGCTATGGGAAAGATACCGTGGTCAAAAGTAGTTATAAAGCTTAAGAACTATACAAAAAAAATTTCATTCTTAGTTTTAGCATCTCTTCTACCCTGCTACCACACTTCCAAATATTGATAGCTACAAATTCAAGTATGAAGTGAGTTACTTTTTTTTTTTTTTTTTTTTTTTTTTTTTTATTGTTCTCATTTCAGTTGTTATCTTGAAAGGTGTTTTATCATGGAAAGAAAGAGTTTGGTGTCAACTTATTTAATAAATGCTTAAGGCGGAAGTTAGACTCCTCTTGAAGAATCTCTCTTTAAAAAATGCGGCCTCAGTGGCATCTAGTAGAGAAATGTTCTCTGTTATCTGGCATTTAGTAGAGTGATGAATAAATGATTGAGAAAGTCTACCTTCTTTACGGTCTAAGATAACAAAAGGGGTAGACTTAAGGAAGACCCAAGACAATGACTTTACAACATAATTACATTGGAAGGGAAAGAAAGATCAAGACTTTTATTTTATGAAAGATAACTAGTTAAACAATGTCAAGGACAATAATTAGAAGCATCTTTGCACTAAAATATTTTGTATTTGGTGAAACATTAAAAATTATTTTCCAATTATAAATGTTTATAGAGAAGCTTCTGTGTGATTATTCAACCCTTTGAAAGTTGTTCTCAAATTCTTGCCAAGCAGTACGTGCAAATTGGTATTTTCTGAAATTCGTATGGATTTATTACCTCAGTTTGTTAGGTATTGTTTCTGTATATTTGTGTGTTACTGAGTATAGTATTAATCTTTTGTGTAATTTAATTTCAGGTCAGATCAATGGCTAGTAATCTTGCCAATGAAGGTGAAGGCAGCTCCCGATTCAAAAGGAACCTTGATGGTTAGAAATTTCTGAAAATCCCCATTGATCAAGTGTACAAGAAAAGAATTTTTAGGATTTTTCCAAGCTATGCTGTGACCGATTATGAAGAAACCATCACCCTGAAAGCCAATAACCAGGATGTATCCATTAATTTATTAACTAGTGACTTATTTAAAGGCTTCTTAAAGAAGAAACATAAGTTTTTGCACTTGGGTCTGGTCCAAATAGCTATCAAGCCTCTGCTGAGACAGGATAGGAGCTCCAGTGGTAGTGTGCCTTAGAGATGCCAGGCACCTTAACTGGGAGAACTCTTTGTTAGCACTTGTTGAATCTAATCTATCTCAGGGTCCAATCTATTTCAACTGTTTCCCTAGCTTTTCAGTTTCCTTGTCCGATTCTTCTTCATTGAAATCCTTACCTTGTATCTCATGACGAGTGGAATACCTTTGGCAGTGACATACAGATTAGTGTGCAAGGCAATGGTGGATTTAAGATCAGAGGCATTACAGGAGCCGATTTTGGGAGAAACAACTTTTATCCATCCTTTTATTGGAACTCGAAGCAGTACGAAATGGAATGAGCTGCAAGTCCCAGAATCTTGGATGCGTAAAGAAGAGCCTAAAGAGGATGAGAATTTCTTAGAGAGGCTACCAGATGGCCGCCACATATTGAGGTTTTCGTCAGCTAGAGGAACAGATGATGAGTATGATGATGAATAGAGGTGAGTTGATGAAATAAATTTTCAATGCTTGCCTCAAGCTCCTTGGTTTGTTGCATCAAACATTGAAAAGATATTGCAGCCCTTATAATTTGTTGATGTAGCATTGTTGTGTACATGGGCTTCAGACATGTATCACCATTACCAAGCTATGTTTATAGACAATATAACTTTCAGCCTATCAATATTTTGTTCATTTTGAGGTCAGAATGTAACATACATTAAATTGCAATTTTGATGATCACCTTAGAATTTTCATTTTGGCATACATACTATGATTGCTGTCTATTAATTAATATAATCTGCATCTCTCCATGTTGATTATCAAAATCGTGGCTAGCTCGAAATCTCTCAAAATGAATTATTTTTTTTACTCCTTAGGGTCAGTCGGTCAGAGCAAATAGTCTTTGATCCAAAAGCCAACAACTATCTCATATTAAACCTGTTCCAAATTAATATGTCACATTTAAGATTTTGCAAGCTAAAAATTGATTTTTGCCCAGATTACTCACAATGTATATTAGTATTCTTACATAAAAACTTAATAAACAACCCTATGTCGAATGTGGCCTAATATGAAAGGAGTAATAGATTTTATTTTTATTTTTATATCTTTTTCTTTTTATTTGGTGATATCATTTAAATAACAAATGCTGTATTAAGAACAAGCTACATAACAAAATTGATTGCTCATAGAAAATAAATCAAATGTGATGATTACATGCTACATGATTTGAATCATGTTACAGATGATTTTCAGCTATTTTGTCTCTAAAATATAAATTACAAAAGAATGTAAAGGGAGCAGTAAATGTATGTTTGCCTGTTCAATTTTTCCCACATGTATAAACATCTAAATCAAACAGAAAGTTTCCAAGGGAATTGAAAAATCATTCCCCAGTAAAATCCACATCCCCATCTGATTTTCCCTGTATAATTTCATGGGATTCCAAGCAATACTCCTGAATTGCCGGAGGAATTAAAAGGTTTTTTTCGAAGGTTAACAGTTTCGGTATATGCCATAAACAAAAGAAGTTTAGTAGTAAAGTTTAAGGGAAAGTAAAACCCCCACCAATGTCGGCGTTCTGAGCACCACCCGGGGGTTTGATTGCAACCCATAGGAGGGAAATTGTGATGGAAATAAGACCTGCCCAGACGAAAACAATGGTGGGTGTTCTTCCTCTTCTTCCCATGAGCCCCTTAGCGAAAGGATAGAGATGAGCCAACACCCAGAAACTAAAGAACACCCCTCCTAGCAGCTTGCTCCACTGTGGGATGGTGCTGTAAATAGTACGACTAAAACCAACCGCAATGGCGACCAAGTTAATCATAATGATAACAAGAGGAGGAATCATCAGAGAAGTCCATTTGACAATGTACAAGTCAGCATATTCATCATCGAGGTCGTCTCCAGCTGATTTTGATGTCAAAGTGAAAGAAATTTCGATACCAGCAACAACCTTCAGCAGACCCTGAAGCACAGCAGCAAGATGTGCACTTGTGCCTCCAATGAGCCAAAACTGTTCATTCCTCCACCATTCTTCGAGGTTAATGCCTGACCATTTGATCTCCAGAAGTGCAAGAAGGCAGAGAGATAAGGATATAACAAGGAGGTATATGAGAAAGGTTATGCTCAGGGTTTGGACAATGAATTGACCTGAAAATAGGGAGAGTGCAGGAAGGAAGCAGTAGACAATCAAGAAAATCGAGGTGAATGGGTAGATACCAACATTAAGGTAAGCGATTCTCTGGAGAACCTTCATACGGGGGCTGGCTAAGAAGGCGTTGTTTCTAGAGAAGAAAATCTCAACTGAGCCTGTGGCCCATCGAAGGACTTGGTGAAGTCGATCTGTAAGATTGATGGGTGCAGTCCCACGGAAAGCATCCCTCTTGGTAACACAATAGATTGATCTCCAACCTCTATTGTGCATTCTGTACCCTGTGACCACATCTTCCGTCACAGATCCATAAATCCAACCAATACGACCACCCCATTCGGTCTTATCTTCGTACCAACAAGATACGACACTTATGGCCTCAGCAACTGTAGAAGCGTCCAAAAGGTCCCGAGGGATGGTTAGAGCACCTGGTGGTCTGCCATTCCTGATAGATGGGTGATCAGCGAGTGGGCGGCCTTGGAACTCTGCCACTGGAATTGAATCAACAAGAAAGCTTGAGTTGCCAAACCTTTTGGGAAACAAAGAGACGTCCATTTCTTCATCATCATCTCCCATTCTAAGAGCCCGATTCTCTTCAGATGAAGAATCGATTGCAACACGCTTCTTCTTCTTGCGACCAAAGCAGCAGTCACAAAAGCCACCATGCTCCTTGGCTCTAGGTGGATCAAAACCATACAGGGCAATCCTGCGGAAAAGGCAACCAGTTCCGACATAAACTGGGCCCTGAAGCCCATCAAGAGCACGCATGTTGATGTCAAAGAAAACAGTGTTGTGGTTGGCATAACGATCAGAAGGGTCAATGCCTTCAAACCTCTGTGGGAACTGGACATAACAAATGCGATCCCCACCACGATCCATCATGAAGCACATGCCTTCTCTAATGGCTTCAGAGTTGTAGATATAGTGATCACAATCTAAATTAAGAATGAAAGGTCCATTTGACATGATTGCCGAGGCACGAACAAGTGCATTCATAGCCCCAGCCTTCTTGTTGTGGTCATAACCTGGACGTTTTTCTCGTGAAACATAAACCAGCATCGGAAGTCGAATATCAACTTCACTATAGTCAAAAGGAATATCATCACCAACTGATCCTTGAAGAGGTTCATCACTTGGAGGCTTCAACATAACCTGTAACATAAAAATGAAAAATCAGTCTATGACTCGAAAACTGCAGGGCAAAGCAAAAATGAAGTCAAAGAACTTTCGAGTACAAATCCAATGAGAACAAACTTACTACTCCCTCTATCTCTAAATAAAAAGGCCTCATTTGGTTGGAAGTCATTCTTATGAAAATGTGGTATAACCCCATAATGTCCCTTCATTATATAGGAATTTAAACAGCTACCATGCAGTAGTTGCTTTTCTTTCAACTTCTTAGTTAAAACTTAAGGCGTCATTATGGGTACTATGGAAAATCAAAATAAAAATTTAAACTAGAAAATGGTCTATCATTTTGACATGGCCTAATATATAAATGTGGCCTTAATTACGGATGGAGAGAGTATTATTATAAAGTTCTCATAAGAAACAGCCTTCTAAACATGCAGTTGAGGATGTCTATAACCGACACTTCCTAAACCCCGCCCAGGAAGAACACTGTCACAATGGGTGGTGGCGGTAGTTGTTGTATAGGAGAGCAATATTATAGTGACCACCACCCATTGTGACAGTGTTCTTCCAATAACAAAAAATTTTAAAGTAAATGAAAAAGCTGAAAATGAAAGATGCAAGACCAAAATCCAGTACCTGTATGATTCCAGCATGATCACCCTTTGAGTGGTCAGGTGCAGAATTCAGCCAAGTGCCAGGCCAGTGGGTTCCATCAGCCATCCAAGTAGCTTTTTGAATTTTTATAGGTTCCAACGGTTGATCTCCTGCTTGTTCTCTCTGCATCTTCAAAGCCTTAATCTCTTCTCGGGCATTGTAAGCATCAGAACGTCGTCGAATTGAATCAGGAAGACCGTTAACACGAACCTTGAATTCATCATACTCACGCTTAACACGACGGCGATCCTTGACAAAATCTACTTTGACCTTGTTCTTGTAAGGATCTCTTTTCAGACTGAAGTAAGAATCGGGATTCCTTGGCTCAATATTATGTTTCCGACAAAATGGTATCCACAAGTTAGCAAAACTAGCTGCTTCAGCCATTGCTTCGAAGGTTAGAAGGGCACCTCCATCGTCAGAGACATAGCAAGCAAGCTTCTCTACTGGGTAGTCAGCCGCAAGAATAGACAGAATCGTATTTGCAGTCACAAGTGGGGGTTCCTTTTCAGGGTCAGCAGTAGAAACAAATATATCAACACCTGGAAGATCAGATTTTCCAGTAGGATTGTTGGGGCCTGGCAATTCAAACTTCTCTTTCAAAACACCAAGGTCAGTAACACGATTAACTGGGTTAAGCTTAGGGAGTTGATCAAGGACCCAAGAGAATGCAAACCAGATTTCACAAACCACAGACAAGCCCCACAGCCACAAGGCATCATTGTTAGGGTTCTTTACCCTCCACGCGAGAAACAATGCAAGAACAACCAGTCTAATGAACACAAGAAGCCTGAAAAGGATTTGCTAATTAGAACACAAAAACCATCTCATGATCAACGTTTTCCCAATAATCAAAATGCATAAACTGGTTGCAATGAAATTGAAGTGAATAATACCACATTACCAGAAAACCAGACTAAACTTAAAATTTGAGTCTCAAATTCTGTAACTCAGTGCAAATCATATCATAATTACTCAATACTAGTGAAATAACAAACCATCTACTCCTATACTAAATTACTAATGGTATAAGAAATCAGAGTTTTAGTTACTATAATATTCGACACATATTCTTATGACATTATTTGTGTTTTTAAAATAAACCTCACAAAGTGTCAGCTTGTGCTATTTGTCTTGACCGGTTTTTGAACATCTCAAATTAAGGCTAAAACATCATCTGAATGTCAACTTGCTAAAATGGCAGATAATTTTGCCATTATCTGATTGAAATTTAGTCATCATGCAGCAGCAATTCAACCTTTGCTCTTACAACCACAACTCAAGGCACAAAACA